AAAACGAAACAAGAGTCATTTCTAAGTTCATTCGAAGCCTAAATCATCCCACAGTGAAAGTCAAAACAAACCTTTTCTCTGACTTGTGACAGCACACCCATTAGATAAGGTGTAGGACTTTCTAAATACTCAAGCAACAACTCAGGCAGGGCTGTTACGAAGGTATACCTGTGAAAAGGAGGAATGCGGTTTCCGAAGTGAAATATAAAAACAGTGTAGTTATAGCAAACTGAAGGAGAAATTGAGGTATGAAATCGGGATGAGATTTCCGAAACTTCTTAGGGAAAAACGGAACAGACTAGGCATTACTTCATTTTTCGAAATTTCCTCGAGCGAACCCTCAAAACAAAAAGGGACGAAAGAAATGGTAGAATGGGAAAAATTGGAAGTGGGAACTCTTAGCCACTCCATTTCCACCCAACAAAGCAATAAACAGAAACACCACGTAAATCTCGTTGAGAAGGATACCCGAAATCTCAATAAAAATTTCGGAAACTACTGATATTGAAACTCACGTGTACTCGAATGGAAATATCAAGGATTTGATAGCATATGCTGAATCAGAAAGGCGCTGTTGGGATGAACTATGCAGTATAATTTTAGCGTCACATAAAACGGCTCTCACCACGGTTAGTAAATTATGAATAGAACCTGCAAATCAAGTATAGAGAGGAGAGACCACAAGTAACAACAAATCGCGAAAGCGGGTTGTGAAAAGGGGCGAACACGAGTGTGGTTCATCAGGACAGAAAGCGAATTTTTCGCTTTTCGCACGCGAAACATTTTTCGCTGCAGGAACCTCAGGTCCACCGCTGATCATGAGTGGACCTGAGGTTCCCGCAGCGAAAAAGTTTCGCGTGCGAAACAGCGGAAAATCGCTTTCTGTCCTAGTGAACTACAATCGCCGAATGCTGCCCTCCCCATGAGGGAATGAAGAATGTAATCGTCTGGGATTTTCCATAATTCTCCAACGACGAACGTTCCAAGAAAATTTTTCGGTAAAGTACGAATGAAAAAGGTTCCTGGTGAAGTATGTACGTGTAAAAATAAAAAAGTGGAGTAAAACAACAAGTTTTAAGGAGTTTTCCTCGAGACTCCTTCCCCCTCCCCTGGGTACAGCGATGTTCTCTTGTTGTAATAAAAAAACTAACCTAAACATTTAGCGAATCGTGTGACACGATCCCCCGTTAACGGGACTCGCCGCTGGAGGATAGGTTGTACTGATACCCGCTCTCCTCCCAGTGTGAAGCTAATGGGTGTCCTAAAACGTCGTGAAACATCATCAATTCTTATGACGACGATGGTGATAATGAGAGAATCTATGTACCTTCCAACTAACAAAACCTTGCTAATGACTGTTGCGATCATAACTTCTGCCGCAGTTACATCGCTCTGGATGGCGAGGAAAATGCGATGAAGACACGTCTGAAATCGAGCATTACCTATGAAAAATTAACACTCGTCAGAATTGTCGGGAACTAACTCGAAACAGATCAAAGTATGGATGACGGGAGAGAATAACGTATACTCGCGGTCGATACATCGAACTTGAAGCATGAAACGTTTCGTCGCAATCCTCGTCAGGACCACAGAGGCACGGTTCATATACCTGCAGCTTCTATGATCAAGTAAAGCAAAATATTCTGAAAAGTCAAGAACACAAAACACTTTTCATGGTAGAATGAATGAATTTCATGACAATCCAAAGGACAATAATAAATGACCAATATGAATCAGATCAGTACCTGTAAACAGCAAGCATATTGATGAGCTCCCATAAGATCCGTGAGGGTGCACACAAAAAAGGTTGGATCGAGCTGCTTATGAGCGAGACTCCATCCATGAGGGACGCAGAACTAGAACATTGCAATGAACATCAGAGAAATTAAAAAGTGGAAACATTATTAATATACTAAGCATAAAAAAGAAATAATGGGAAACAAAAACCAAGACGAATGGACCCCTCTGACAAACTTCCAAAATTTCGAATTTTTCACAGCGTCGTCAGGAAACAAAACCAACCATGGATATACTGTTCGGGAATGGGACATCAGACCATTCATTGGTCGGAAGTCGTCGCGTTACTACACCCACACTGCTTCCATGCCCTGAAAAAAAAAACTTGATAGGAAAACAAAGTGTTAACCTATGGTTAGTAACGGGCCTTTACGAACAGTTGTGGAGCAGACAGGTTGGTGTCAAACTTTGCGAATCCAGCGCATCGCGGGGTACGGGCGATGCCCCAGCGAATCGAAAAATGGGAAAATGGCAAAAGTCCCTCTCATGCGCACGTTGACTCTCGCTAATTTCCCAGGCTCGCGAGGAGAACGGAGCTCACGAGGCACATGGAGAGTGACAAAACGGAGTGAGAGGGCTCTCTACTTTTCCACACTTTCGAATCGCTGGTGCATCGTCCGAACCGCTAATATCATTCAAACGATGGCGCATCGTTCGACACGCAAAACTGACACCCGCCCTATTGCTAACAAAAACATGACAAACACTACAATTCTCAATGTTCTGCCAAGAGTTTTTTGGAAGGAAAGCCTATTCCGAATCGGTTTTTGGAAGAAAGCCTATTCCGATCTCAAATGCCTAAACATGGCTGAAGGCCTAAGAAACGCTCAGGGTGGTGCCAGACAATCCGTCGCGCGATTCGCGTGAATCGCAAGTGCCCCATTTGAACATTTGAAACACTGAATATGAAACAAGTAGAATCATGAACAGTCGTCATTCAACCATCACCATCAAGCAGAAATGGCGGCGGGATTGGAGAGCACCTCGCAGTATTGATCGGAGAACTTGCGATTTCTGCGATCTGTCGTGCGATTCGTACGGGGTCGCGGACTCTGACACCCTCATATCCCACCAATCGCCTCTTCCCTTCTGACGTTTCTGACATCATATTATTCAAGCACGAGAAACATTTCAACTCAACATATACAGTCACCCCAATTTCAAGGTCGAAATCCTGACGGGAATGAAGTTTCTAGCTAACAACCTTAAAACGTAATTATAAAAAACAATAAAGAAGAAGCATGCCGAGGTAATGTGAGATGACAGAGCTTGGAATCTACTATAAA